AACTTTTAAAAGTTACAACCAAGTCCAATATATTCAGACTGAAAACGGTTTGGATATAGTTGCAAGTTTTAAAAGTTTCTGCTGGGTCCTCTATATTTGGACCGATCTCGGTCCGTATATATTTGCTATGCCTCTTTCCACCACATTTCCAGACCGTTTTCGGTTCGCACATATTTTATTATTTTATTATATTATTTTTTTGGGACCAATTTCGGTCCGCTTATTTCAATTTTTAAATAACCATTTATATTTCTTACTGAAATATCCGGACTGATATTTCGGTTTGAATATCTGATTCCTGCAGTAGTGTGATATGAATGATGAGTTCTATCATATAATTTAATATGTCCTTTTACATGTAAATCTGATGTAAAGTTTAGGTCCTATTATATAGACTAACAACGAATCTTCCAAAAACTACACTTGAATTTTAACATTATATGAAAATTAAGTACGTGGATTTCATTATCAAAATTACATTTAATCTAAAATCAATTAATATTATAAGTGTTATTTTTAATGTTTTGAAAATTACTTTCAACAATTAACTCTAATAATTAAATACAGCATATTATAAATAATAATGATTAACTATCAAATATTGATTATCAACTCCAAATAGCTTCTCAAAACACACCTGCATGTAATCATCCATTCCATACAAAAGTTACATGCAAAATGCTATTTTCTAGAAGATGGTTGATTCAACTTTCGGGATTTATGGCTAATTTCACCTAATTCGTAGAATAAAAATGATATATGTATAATGATTGGTGCAATATAAGTTGTTTTCTTTGTTATGATTCATTTTGAAATATGGGAGTTTTTTTTTTTTACTGAGATTAACGCCATCATTTTTTTTAAGATTATTATTATTTTTGATAAAATTATTAATTTTATTTCTAACTTTATTAATTTATAACTATTTTTTAAACAATTTGTTATAACATTTAAAAATATTTATTTATAAATTAATTTTAATCTATTAAATAATAAATATTAATTATTTTATTTAATTTTTAATTTTTTAATAACTAAATTAAGATAAAAATTTAATTATTATGTTTTTCTATGATACAAATTAAGAATACTTTTTTAATTATAAATTTATATAAAAATATAAAAATTAATGGTAATTTTAAAGTTATTATTATATAAATAAATTTAATTAAATAAATAATAAATTAAATATTTATATTTATATTTATAAAATTTTTAACTTATATCTTAAAAATATAAATTAAAAAACTCTTAATTATTTTAGTGACGTAACAAAGTTAATGACAATAATAACCATTCACAAGAGACAGAGAAATAGGGCTTGGGCCTTGGGTTTAGAGCCAAGAACTTCAATATCCTGACACCACCCTTAGTGAGATACGAAATCATTTGATCTCACACACGCATTATTTCATGATTAATTATTTCAATACAGATTTACGCAATATAATGCGTCACTTTATCAATTGATCAAGTGGATGCAAGATATACCTATAACCTACGGTTGAATTGAACCTAGGCTTCTAGAGTACGTGGTTCACCCATAGGACCTCCCACCCACTTGTTCACGTTTCCATTCCCCCTTGGCCTCTTTTCCTTCCCCAACTCCCAAGTTAGAACTCTGTTCAGCAGATTGGCTGAGAGGTAATTGTTGCAACTTCAAAAGAATCCACTAACACCGGTTACCTGCTTTTTTTATGTTGGTTGTGTAATGAAATATAATTTTTTTTCATCTCTTATTGTATTTTATTTGTATCTTATATAATTTAAATTTAAAGTTTTTTATTTTTAATGAAAAAAATTATTATTAAATTATTTAAGTAGTTGATAATATCGATTTCAAGTGAATAAATTTAATTTTTTTAAAATCAAAATTTGATTTTAAATCTCATACATAAAGAAATGAATATTAAAAAAAATTTTCTTTCCATGAGATTTAAAGCAACTCGGCTTTAAATTTATTAAGTACTAATGTAAATTTTAAATCTGGGAATTAGTTTAAGAAAAAAAAAATTGGCTAAGGGATTAAGCCGGGTCAAGGATCTCGTCTGTGAGCCCAATTTAAGTTTACTGACCCAAAAGCCCATCTGCGGAATTTCAATTTCAAAATTCAAAAACCAAAAACCATCACCACCACTACTAATAAAGGCACAAAAGACAATTACCTTTTTCTGTCCCCAAAACCCACCCCGTGTTTGCCAGCTTGCGTTCTCACTTCTCAGGCCTCCCGAACCGAAATCCAACGGCCCACGTTTAATTCCCCATTTCCTCTCCTCCCCCCACAACGCAATCATCGCCCCTCTCCTTTCTCTCCCCCTCAAGATTCCCACTCTCAACTTTCCACACCTTAAAAATTACCTCTTCCCTCTCCTTCCTTCCTTACCTCCCTGACCTCCCTTTTTGTGTCTCTCGCTTTTCCTCGATTTGATCCACAATGGCCGCTGCAACTGCAACCTCACCTCGCGAGGAATTCGTTTACATGGCCAAGCTGGCCGAGCAAGCCGAGCGCTATGAAGAGATGGTGGAGTTCATGGAGAAAGTCTCTACCACCGTTGAGAATGAGGAGCTTAGCGTGGAGGAGAGGAACCTCCTCTCCGTGGCTTACAAGAACGTGATCGGTGCTAGGCGTGCCTCCTGGCGCATCATCTCCTCCATAGAGCAGAAGGAGGAGAGCCGTGGCAATGAGGACCACGTTGCCGTGATCCGTGACTATCGGGCCAAAATCGAGTCCGAACTCTCCTCGATCTGCGACGGGATCTTGAAGCTGCTCGACTCGAGGCTCATTCCGTCTGCTACTGTTGGTGATTCTAAGGTGTTTTATCTCAAGATGAAGGGAGATTACCATAGGTACCTGGCTGAGTTCAAGACAGGCGCAGAGCGTAAAGAGGCCGCTGAGAGTACTCTCACCGCTTACAAAGCTGCTCAGGTTAGTCCTTACTTTGCTGGAGATCTTTCCATTTCTGTTTGCATGCTTTATTTTTCCATTCGAATCTATTTCTTTTCACTGTTTCTGAATCAATAAATTTCCTTATTCGTGTTGTTTGAGTTGTATTTTGCTGCCTTCTTTAATGAATTGCTTGTGAATGCTATGAGATTTCTGTTTTAATTTGTCACTGATCGATTTCCAGGATATTGCAAACACTGAGCTCGCTCCTACTCACCCGATCCGCCTAGGATTGGCCTTGAACTTCTCTGTTTTCTACTATGAGATCCTCAATTCCCCTGATCGCGCTTGCAATCTTGCGAAACAGGTTAGAGAATCTTACTTTAGCATCTTCTATATACTCCAAGGTGACAAACCTGACTGTAATTAGAACACAGTTGAAATTAGACTGTTACACGCTCTTCTTCAGATGATTGGAATGAAAGTGTTCATGTTTTGCTGAAATAGAACCGAATACCATCTGATTGGCTTTTCTGTTAGGCTTTGATGTACTTGTGTTTGCTTAATCTGGTGCTCTTGATTTCACCAGGCTTTTGATGAGGCAATTGCTGAGTTAGATACTCTTGGGGAGGAGTCTTACAAGGACAGCACTCTGATCATGCAACTCCTTCGTGACAACCTCACTCTCTGGACCTCCGATATGCAGGTTTGGATTTTGGAATTTGATCCCCTTCTTTGCTTTTCAATAGTCCTTTTTCCTTGCTTATTTATTTGAATATTGCAATCTTGGTTTGGAAAACAGGATGATGGGGCAGATGAAATTAAAGAAGCACCCAAGCGTGACGAGGAACAACAACCACAGCAGTAGCATTGACCATGCTCTACTACAAATTAGGGGATGATTGAACTTCTCCGTCATATGTTTTTTACTGGAGAAGATGCTGGTTTGTTAATTTACCTGCTATTATGAAATTTTTAGTCATTCTTGTCCTATTAAATCGTCCATGTACTGAGAATTATTTTTGTTTTTATTTTTCTCCTTTTTAGTTTGCCTTATTGATTCTCTGTGGCCTTTCTCTTGTTGAAGATATTAAAGCCATATTTTATTATGCTAAATTCTATTAGAAAAGAGTCTATGCTTTTGATTAATGCCTTCTACTTTTCTTTTTTTTTTTTTGAATTTAATAATAAATTATAGAAGAGGAAATAGCCTTTTCCTTTTTTCAAAACTCTTCTTAGCCAATTTTGAAATTTCTAAGGCACTTCACTAATTGTGTCATCCATCAGGGTATTTTTCTTTTTCTTTTTTTTTTTTCTTTGTCCAAAAGAAAAAAAATGAAAAATAAATACAAGCACTTGTTGAAGTTAGGAGTGGATTAGGTTTTCCCTTTCTCTTAAAAATGATAAAAACTAAAGAAAAGTGAAAAATTGTACCTTATGACATTTTTCTTGTAAAATTGTTTAAATATTTTTAATAGTTTTGTGTGTTAATTTATTAAAAATATTTTAATTTTTTTCTATTATTTATGGTATTTTAATTGACAGGATGATATAATTTTTATGAAATTCCTAAAACTATTTGAATCTTCAATATTACCGAATAAAAGTACCACAACAGCA